ACACCATTACTTACAGAATGTTGATATTAGACAAGAACAACACCATTACTTACAGAATGTTGATATTAGACAAGAACAACACCATTACTTACAGAATGGTGATATTACATAAGAACAACACCATTACTTACAGAATGGTGATATTAGATAAGAACAACACCATTACTTACAGAATGTTGATATTAGATAAGAACAACATCAATACTTACAGAATGTAGATATTAGACAAGAACAACACCATTACTTACAGAATGGTGATATTAGATAAGAACAACACCATTACTTACAGAATGTTGATATTAGACAAGAACAACACTATTACTTACAGAATGTAGATATTAGATAAGAACAACACCATTACTTAGAGAATGGTGATATTAGACAAGAACAACACCATTACTTACAGAATGGTGATATTAGATAAGAACAACATCAATACTTACAGAATATTGATATTAGGATTTTTTAAGCACAATAAAAGCTGGCAGATAACGTTTAATATTTTTTTTGATCATTAAAACCGAGTATCACTCTAATTTATAGTTCAGAATTTACTGTATGGAGAAGAATGATCTGCTACTTTTTGAAGTTTTCTATTTATGTAATGAAACCAGAACTTGAAACTCTATAAGACTACGATCGTCTTTAGGTAGGAGCCACTACAATGAACAAAACAATTCCAGTATGAATGTGTTAGAGAAATTCATGTTATTATTTTTTCTAATTGCGAGATTTAATATTAAGGTTTGTACCTTTCTTCCGGCCCTATTGTTGTGTATATTCATTAGGCCATCTGGAGAATCCCGATCTTCTCCCGAGTCAACGAAGTCCTTGGCAAATATGGACCCATGTTTTATGTCGTCAGAGCATCCACCCCACTCCCAGCGTCCCTTTGTATCACGTGCTCTAATATGAGGGTCGCATCCACAATCAACAAGCGCTCCTGTACTGCAAGCTTTAGTGATGCTGTAGGCGACTCCAGCCGCTGATATGGAGAATACAAAGGCTTTTTCACGACTGTCTAGAAGCAATTAAACAGCGTGTAAAAATTCATAACTCAAGAAAAACCATAGGCATACGTTTGATAACATCGGTGAAATCTAAGGAAATATAGCTATATATGAAATATATGTTTATAACAGTGAGTTATACCTGACATTAAGGTACCGTGCAGCTACGTTTGAAACAATAATCACTGCGCAGGAAGTATTTAAAATCACGCCCTTTACCCAAAACTTAAGCTCATATATTTGGAGATACTGAAGCAATTAGTACGTCAAGATTCCATCAGATGGCGCCGAGTAAACTCCCGCTACTCGTTTTTAAATCTATTTTTTCTTGCAAATTTCAGCCTTTATTAAACAAATAAATGTACAGTTTCAAATATCAAAAACTCACTATGACGTTTAATAGCTTCACTTGTTCCTTGACTCTACTGAACTAACAGTTTCTTCCCAGCACTAAAACTTGGTTGGTTTACTCTGTACTCGTTCATGTTTTCACACAAACGTTTTTGTGACATGCTAAATGATTATGTGTAAAAAATGATATTAATGTTATTTAGTGCAAAGAAGTTTTACGGTAATGTGCAGTAATAGTGTGTAGTAACACTACATAACATTGTAGTAACACTGCATCACAGTGTAGTAACAGTATATCACTGTGTAGTAGCACTGAGTCACATTGTAGTAACACTGCATCACAGTAACAGCATGTCACAGTGTAGTAACAGTACATCAACGTGTATTAATACTACGTCACAGCGTAGTAACTGTACGTCACAGTGTAATAGCAGTATATCAACGGGTAGTAACACTAAATCACAGTGTAATAATGCTACGTCACAGTGCATTACAGTGTAGTAACAGTATATAAATGTGTAGTACCACTACGTCACAGTATAGTAACATTATATAACTGTGTAGTAACATTACGTCACATTGTACTAATAGTATATCATAGTGTAGTAACACTATGCCACAGTGTAGTAATACTATATCCCCAACAAGTCAGACATTGCTTTTTATTAGTGATGCGATTTATACTGCCGTTGTTCAAGCAATAAACGCAATGTTGCATAGTTTACTGACACAATGTCTGTACGAAAGCAAACACTGGTACTACACTGTGACATAGTGTTGCTACACTGTAACATAATATTACTACATTTTCATATACTGTTTCTAGACTCTGACGCTACATAGGAGACACTTCTACTATATATCTATGTTTGTTAGTAAACTATGCAACAATGTACTAACCCAATGTACTGATTAATGAGCAGCCGCGCCGAATACAGAAAGTTCCTAAGAATTCATTTTGATTGTATTAATAGTTGTGAAGAACGATTAATACCTAATGGTTGTATCTCTCATCTATACGTACTGAAGCATTTAACGACATATTCCGTCACATTATAGGAACAATTATCTCCTTCAGGTAACTAGTATTTAATTTATCACAACAAAAAGGAGCAACTTTAAACATAAAGTACACAAAGACGACACTAACTTAATATCTAGTTGGTGAAGTCTTTAAACATTTCCTGGACAACATTGTTAACCGTCCTGTATATTCCTTGATAGGTCCGCGTTCACAGGAAATGAAGACAGTTATTTCTCTGTAAACAAATTCTCAAGAGTAATAGCGACTATTATAATGTATCATTTACTGTCCTGTTCAATTACTTCTCTGTCAACAGATTTTCAGGAGTAATCACGACTATTATAATGTATCATTTACTGTCCTGTTCAATTACTTCTCTTTCAACAGATTTTCAGGAGTAATCACGACTATTATAATGTATCATTTACTGTCCTGTTCAATTACTTCTCTTTCAACAGATTTTCAGGAGTAATCACGACTATTATAACGTATTATTTACTGTCCTGTTCAATTACTTCTCTTTCAACAGATTTTCAGGAGTAATCACGACTTTTATAACGTATCATTTACTGTCCTGTTCAATTACTTCTCTGTCAACAGATTTTCAGGAGTAATCACGACTATTATAATGTATCATTTACTGTCCTGTTCAATTACTTCTCTGTCAACAAATTTTCTGAAGTAATCTCAACTAGTGTTGTGTATCAGGTGCTGTGCTGTTCAATTATATACAATGTATGTATTAAGTAACCATCGTGTTCGATGTGTGTAACCAGTAACCATTATTCACCGTGTGTGTGTGTGTGTAACTAGTATTCAAGTGTGTGTGTAACCAGTAACCGTTATTCACAGTGTGTGTGTAACCAGTAACCATTATTCACCGTGTGTGTGTAACCAGTATTCAAGTGTGTGTGTAACCAGTAACCGTTATTCACAGTGTGTGTGTAACCAGTAACCATTATTCACCGTGTGTGTGTAACCAGTATTCAGGTGTGTGTGTAACCAGTAACCAGTATTCAAGTGTGTGTGTAACCAGTAACCGTTATTCACAGTGTGTGTGTAACCAGTAACCATTATTCACCGTGTGTGTGTGTGTAACCAGTATTCAGGTGTGTGTGTAACCAGTAACCATTATTCAAGTGTATGTGTTTGTGTCTAATCAGTAACCATCATGCTCAGCACGTGTAATCAGTAACCATCATGCTCAGCACGTGCAATCAGTAACCATCATGCTCAGCGTCTGTAATCAGCAGTCGCTGTTGTATTCTTTTCAATGATTCACGTCAACCCAACCTGGAAAACATTTACACACTTTAGCCTGTATACTAACTGCTGTGTTTAGTGCAACAACCTACACACTTTGAAAACACCCCCACACACACATATATATAAAGGTGAATCAATTGATATCCATCTATATAAGATCATAACAATTCGATCTTTCAAAATATTGATCTTAATTCTCAGTATTACTAACATAGGGATATATTGTTATAGATAGTTGATATTGTTAATGTATCTTGTAAAACTGAAGTGGGTGTAAGAGAGAGAAAACAAGAGAAAAACTGACTCACCAAGTAGAAACAGTTAGTTAAGATTACATTATAAAATATGAAATAATATGTAGGGTAATAAATCAAGCAACCTTACCCCACAATAACGTAATGAGGAAAACCTTACTTAACTATCTCTAATTCTATAGTCTGCATTTTGTTCTGGGCATGAGCATTAGAAACTCTGGTATGAATGTATCCTATTTGCACTTACCATAATTCTTAAATCCTGTTCTTTTAGAACCATCGAGTTGACGTCACTTTTAGGTGCTGTTATAGCCTTACAAACCTCATAACGTAAACTCTGATTTCCATATAGATATAAGCTTTAAAGCTGGTGTGAAACTTCAACTCAGAAAGGTGTGACTTCACACCCTTCATCAGAAAGTTTGATTTGACATCCCAGTGAGGTGTGATATTTGCAGATATTTCTGTTAAACGTTTATCATAACATCCTAAATTAATTAAAAGATTTAGTTGGTCTGTATCCTCATCGAAGTTTTCGTACGCTTACCACTGAGCATTTACAGTTTCGTTTTAATGTTCACACAACACTTCCATGACGTTTATAAGTTCACATTTTTATACATATAGCAGGAGTGTGAACGTTAATTTGTTCTACATTTACACCGTTAAAGAATGTGAGCTCTCACCCCGTCAGAAGGAGGTGTGTTTGTTATAATCACATGTTCACCAAATACAAAACTGTAACAGTTCGGTTATGTTTCATGTTTTACCAACCAGACTGAGGTAACGTGAAACTGTAAACATTATTGACAGCTTCCTATACTTCACGTGCTTCAGGAAGAGAGCTTAATTTTATTTGATTGTTTAATAAGGGGTCGTATCCCACGTAGGAACAGTTATCATCCGCATGTAGATGAAATGGATCTTTCAGTATTAAGATCTAACTCATCTTAATCGTTCTCCAACTTCTCTGTAATTTCCCTGTGGTTAATGTTCATATTTTAAATTCCTTCATGACAGAAAAGTTGGGGATTGGCTGACCCTCACGTGATCCTCCTCTTGCTAGTTACAGAATTACTCCAGCTGTCAGTGTTACAAAAGTAACTTTTTTAAGCGCTGATTCACAGCTACCTTAACAACATCGAGCGATTCAAGAAGATTCTAATGGGTGTTTGTCTTATAGATTTAAAACCATCTGTGTCTTATCTTTAACCGGTGTTTACATCATACTAAGTTAATATGTATAAACTAGCCAGTGACGTTTGAAATCAATTCTCGTAGTGATTCATTTTCTTCTCCACATATTATTTAGCGTATACAGAAACACCTATATTCAGGTAAAGGTTACACCTTGGTTTTTAATCATGATATAAAAGTACATTTTTTCCCACTACTGGAACCCTAGAATGTCCAATTGTATGTACATAAAAATATTACAGCTAGTTAATTAGGCTTAGCGGTAAGCTTGAGGACTTATAACGCTAAAATGTGAGATTAGATCCCTGTGGTGAGTACAGAGAAGGCAGACATTGATACTAATGTTGGTAATCATAATATAACCATAAAGATTTCTCACTAACAATGAAATGTTTGTGTTCAAGGATTACTTAAGGTATACCAGCAACTATAGGTTTAGGAGTAAATTAATGTATACCAGGATCTATAGGTTTGTTTAGGTTTAGGAGTAAATCAAGGTATGCCAACACCTATAGGTTCTTTTAGCTTTAGGAGTAAATTAATGTATACGAGGATCTATAGGTTTGTTTAGGTTTAGGAGTAAACTTAAGGTATACCAGCAACTGTGGGTTTGTTTATGTTTAGATTTACATTATATTATACCAGCAACTATAGGTTCGTTTAGGTTTAGGAGTAAATTAAGGTATACCAGCACTTATAGGTTTGCTTAGGTTTAGGAGTAAATTAAGGTATACCAGCACTTATAGGTTTGCTTAGGTTTAGGTGTAAATTAAGGTATGCCAGCACTTATAGGTTTGTTTATGTTTAGGAGTAAATTAAGGTATATCAGCACTTATAGGTTTGTTTATATTTAGGAGTAAATTAAGGTATACCAGCACTTATAGGTTTGCTTAGGTTTAGGTGTAAATTAAGGTATACCAAGAACTAAAGAAAAATCAACTGTTACAACTTTTAAAGCGACTAAAACCAAGTCACGTGAATTGTAAATAAATAATTTGAGTTGATAATTACATGAATTTCATACTCACTGACGTTTAAAACTTCACCAAAAACGTTGGGAATGCCATTGAAAGTAGAACAGTTCCACCGATTCGTCCGGAACTGATACTGACATTCTTTAATTCCCATTTTAGCCCCTTGACCGACCGTTATCAGGACATTGTGATTAAGGCCACATAAGTCTTGCTGTTTCTCCACCAAGTAGTGTAGATTTTTACAGAAGTTCTGATAAGTAGTGGAGTTTAGTTGAAGAACTTTCTCATAGGTGGTGGTCATTCCTAGTAGCCTGGAGAACAACAGAGAATATTTGAATCCACCCTAAATCTAACAGGTATTGTTAGCCTGCCTTGTTAATTTGTTTTGATAATGTTAAGAGAGAGAGATAAATAGTCGCTGATGGTTGTGTGTTTCTTATTGATATTTTATTTTCCTTTTTTTAAACTGACATAAAAAAGATGGAGACACAAACCTGGTTCCGGTTCTACTTTAGCTGAATGTTAACACCAAAAGTAGCACCTTGTATTTTTAAGTTATTTTAAAACAAAGGTCAGACAAATTCCTAGTAAATGTTAGTAATCTTTACCAACTTCACGGTCTTGATGAACTGACATTCTAGGGCTTTGATGTTTAAAAAAATAGTTCCTTTTTAAATCTCCATTCATATTTAACAAATCTTTGCTCTTTAAATAAAGCTAAAGTTTAAGTAATTAAGACGTAGAATCCAAGTAAGTTTTATTACATGCCCTTTAATTTTACGAAAGTTGATAATGCACCTTGTGCTTTGTAAATCAGAGTTTCATTTTGTATTTACTTGAATAGCTTGTGAAAACACTATGAAAAAGCAATACGGACAGATAAGTTGTGAGAAACAGTTCAGGTGACAATTTTTGTTTTAGCACCAAATCACACTTTCTGTGTTGAATGAATTATACAATACTGGAAGAATTCGTGGACGGTTCTTGCCATAGACCTTTGTTGTGGATTCTCACGTGTTATAAAACTCTGCATTTTGCTTGCCGCCGCTGAGGTACGATTTTTTTACAGGTCTCTTTCTGGATAGTCCTGGACCCCAAGTTCCACATTCTTTTGTTTTATAATGCTATTAATTACGATACATACCTCCGTCTTGTACATTCTAAATTCTGAACTGCACAAATCCTTATGGTCTGAGGGCATACAAATTTCTTACCAAAAGCTGTCAATTTTCAGTGGCATCACACTACCTACGTAACACCAAACAATGTCAGAATGATATAGTTCTACTATATGTCATTTCACTGCGATTCATATTGGCTGTGTTTGTAAGGATACTTGATGATTTGCATATTCAAAATCATTTTAACATAACATACTCAAACCTCTGTATAACTTGGTTGCACACTGATTAACAAGGTTGGAAAAGCCCTATTCTCTTAAATACTTATTACATCTACTTCTGCCCTAGTTTTCAACAACAAAAGTTCTTGATTACTGCGAAACTACAGAACTACTGAAACTATACAAAACTTGTCATACCTCTCACGTGCGCCTACTTTCTGAAAATATGAAACCTATCCTATCTCTTATATACTAGTACTTTGTAAAAATACAGATTTGCTAAAACTACAAAACTCATCCAATCTGAGTGTAAACATGTTTTAAGAACAGAAAAATTTAGTAGAAAATTCCTTGTCGTTTCACCTTATGGTTATATCAAGAGATAGATACCCTACTAAGTTGTTGTCCTGTGTTCTCTGGGATCTCTACCTCTGGATAATATAGATACTCTACTAAACACAAGTTGTTGTCCTGTGTTCTCTGGGATCTCTACCTCTGGATAATATAGATACTCTACTAAACACAAGTTGTTGTCCTGTGTTCTCTGGGATGTCTACCTCTGGATAATATAG